CGCCACCAGACTGCTGCTCAGGAGTCCCGGTCCTAGCATGACACGGCTTGACACGAATCACGGGGCTGTCACAGGACGCCGGTCGTGAGTGCCGATTCCATCACGATTCGGTTTATGTTGAAGTCTGACTCCTTCACGAGACGCAGGCCAGATCCGTCACGAGACGCGCCTCATGAATGCTGGCCCCAATGACGAGACCCTGCGGCCGTGAGTCCAATCTCCATCACGGCCTGGAGTATCGATTCCAACACGAGACGGCTGAACGCGAGTCTCATCTCCATCACGTGAGACACCGAGCAGTGAGTCCCCGACCTCCATCACGGGAGACGCCGGGCAGTGAGTCCCGACTCTATCACGGAGAGACGCCGCGCAGTGAGTCCCGACTTTATCACGGGAGACGCACGCCGGGCAGTGAGTCCCGACCCCGCCACAGGATACACCGGACAGTAAGGCTCGACTTCACGAGATACGCCGGGCAGTGAGTCCCGACTCTATCACGAGAGACGCCGGGCAGTGAGTCCCGCCTCCATTACTGGAGACGCCGGGCAGTGATCCCCGACTCCATCACGGGAGTCGGCCGGGCCGCGCCGGGCCCGTATCGACCGGCGCCTGTTTACGTTCGGTGCCGTGAACGCCCTGCTGGGCGGGCGGCGCCGGTTCAAATGGCGCCGCTCACTGCCGGCGCGGTAATGGCGCGGCAGCCGGCTAAACAAGGCGCCGATTTGGCCTGCGATTTGACGGCGCGGGTCGGACGGAGTCGTCGGCGCCGGCGACGGCGTGCCACCGAGCCCCGAGCCGGGCGGCTGCAGCGGAGAAGCGTTCGGCCGCAGCTCCCTGACCACAGCACGGCGTGTGGTGGCCGCGCTGTGGGCAGGATGAGAGCGGCTGACAGATTTGTTGGGTAATCGTCGCTGAGTTACGTTGTTTGATCAGCAGCCCTTGTCTCCAAATCAACGTGCTGTTATCGTACAGTACTGAATCTCGTATCGTCTGCCCTTGCTGCGACGATAAGCCTGTGTTTCTTTGTTTCGCACATGGTGCGACTCAGATAAAAAAATCTCCTGAGAGGGATGAGAGGAAGGGTGGCGGAATTGCCTCGTGCCCAATTTCTTTTCTCGTTGCGGAACTGATTTGACGCCCCATTCCTTCCGACTTGGTTTGCCCCTGGTCGCTCTGCCTCAGCCCCTCCCCGCCCTCATCGCTCTGCGCTGGCGGCCGCCGGGGACCGCGGTGACGACGGGCGCCGACGGGGGCGGCGTATTATGTTGTCACGCGTCGTCCGCCGGGCCGGCCAGCCGCCGGCGGCCGCGTCACCGCCCGGGGACGCCGCTGACGGCACCCGAGGGCGTATCGAGTTGCGGGCCCGCGGCCGCCGGCAGAGTGGTGACGGAGGCGGCGGGCGCGGGCGCCTCGCGGCACGCGACTGCTCTGCCTAGTCGGGCCGTCGCGGCCGCCGGCGGGCGCCACCGGCGCCACCGGCGCCAGTGGCGCAGCGCCCCAGGCCGGCCGCTTGTTGTGAGTAAGGGAGAGATGGGAGCTTTGTGGGGAAAGGCGTGTTGAAGGGCGGTTTTATGATACGATAGCTGAGGTACTACGAGCATGCTGCTGTCGGGCCACCGGAACCGCGTGATCCCCAAGCTGCGCGTATGCCAAGATAGACGTTGATCGTTATCAGTGTGCAGGGTGCAAGGTGGTCAGACTGCAATATACAGAAGGCTTAACATTAAACGAGTAACACTGATGGACACAATCAAAGTGCCCTCATTAATCTGGCATGGGAAACGATTGTTATTTAGCCTGAAATACTGGATTAGGAGTTGTCTGTTTTCGCCATTCCTGTGAAAGTGCTCTGTTATTCTCGAGTGCTCTCCGTAAATGTTTTCTAGCTACTTACCAAACAAGGTATATAGCCATATGTGTTAAAAGGTAGATAGCACATCTGCATACGGGCCTTCAGCGCTCGCTGGCCATCTGGCTACCCGATCGTTTCTACCGCATGATGAATCTTCGTGCGAAAAACGAAAGAAAAGAAAGCGAAAGAGGTCAATGGTCGATAGTGGTGAAGCGATTCAGAATGCGTATCGGGAACAGGTAACACAATATCCACCACTTTCAGTAGCTCGAGCGGGACTGAATCTCTCAACAAAATCATAGCATAGGTCTGGTCCAATACCGTGGCTGATGTAACGGACCTCCTAACGTAAGGCTCCTTTACTAAACACATGCGCCACGAGTTCCGCGAGCCAACACGCGAAATTGATCGACTCAAAGGCGTGTACGCCACGTTACACACTACTGACGCATGGCCGAAGCTGCTTTTCCGGACTGGTGCAACAGTGACATGCAGTGCTAATTTTCTCAAACAGGGTTTTTATGGACTTATGCTGTCAGAGCTCCTTCAGCAGTGATACTACGGCTTAGCTAAATGTTATAGGTGTGGGTAACACCGACTACACGTGCACACCTTAACTAAATGGAGTTGTGGAATTAAACGCGCAGAGGCCGCCCACTAAGGTCGGCAATCAAAGAGGACCGCCAGCCAGCACGTGACCGCGTAGCAAAACCAGCATACAGGAACCGCCTAGTAAAATGGACCCATATGTACCACATCATCTGGAGCAAGGGCGTTGTACACAGGGCTTGGTCTAAAACACTCACGCATCTGCTCCTCACCGACCGGGCTCACACGTGCACAGGAAATAATACAACGGCAACGGCACCTCCTCTGACGCTCCGCAACAACTGATTAAATCGGCTCGTTAGGGTCAGGGTGTGAACAGGGATTTAAAGGGTGGAAATAGGTAGGTTCAAAGAATGAAAACGGCTTGCTTCAAGGGGTCAAACCGATAGGCTCATAGGTTTGAAACCGGCAATCCCGAAAGGGTGAGACCGGCTTATTAATGATGAAATACCCCATCCAGCCAGCATAAGTCGGGGCAGGCGCGCGCTCGCATGTTTCAACGGTGACGTTCTTCCGACACGACTGGCGGCCATTGCTGTGAATTGAGACTAAAGTATCAATTTTGAGGCGGCCTTTTGACATGGAAAGTCGTGATTTTCGAACGAGT